CGTGATCGCTTAAACGCTTCGGATTGACTCATCCATAAATTATAGTCTCGCCCAAAATGTTCACAATAAAGTTGGTTTCAATTATTATGCAGATTATACTGGAGATGTTTATCTATATTGACTACTTACTAAATATGGATCATATATATAATTGTTTAGATGAGACAAGTGCTCATTGAGGCAAAAAGAATATTGACAGAAACTAATGAGTAACTTGTAAAAGTATAACAGAAGTGAATTCGAATTTTTATTAACCATGACAAATTGAATTTATACGGTTTTTTTAAATTCAAACTACAAGATCTTTAACTCATTTTTGTATTAGTTGGTTGAATCGTCTCATTGATAATTAAGGTTACGATTGATCTGTCTCTTATTGTCATATGTACATCATGTATGGATTGCCTCTGTATTGCCTTAAATCACAAGCATTATAAACAGAGATAAATGGTGGCTAGTTGTGGAATTGAGGATGTGCGTTTCATTCTATTTGAGAATGATCAAATGGATGTACTTATAAGCGTCATCACAGTTAAAGCGAAGAGTACTGAGTTCGAATCACAGAGTGAACACCAACTGTGTGATGTGAGTATATTCAGGTGACAAATCTCAAATAGGAAGAAACAAGTGTTCTTTATTCCGCTGCTAGTCACCATCCATCTCTGAGTACACGACCTTTCATTCAGTCAAATGTTTCATAGATGTTCCATACACTGCTATTATACAAACTGACTCAAAGTATATTTGAATATGTTTCCTCTTACTTTTATTGGTTCAGGAGGTTTAGGCTTATGGTTTTATAGGTTGGTCATTTGACTGCGAAACAGGATTGATGATTGACATGAGATACAGCATTTATTAATCTATCAAATTTTTGAGGTAAATCAAAGCACAAAATTACAGAGTTACTTGGTAAAATAGAAAAACCATAATTGATTGATCACTGGGTGGTGATCAATGTCATGCTTGTCTAGTCCTTATTAGTGCAGATTGAATGCTATCGATCATGTTGCAATGTGGCCACCAGTCTAGGTGACTCGACACTGCGGGCACTATGTATTGAGATTAGATGGTGGTTGGAGGTAGTGAACAGGAAACCCTGGACCCGGGTTTCGTGCTACTTGGCACTCGTCAGCAAGGTGTACCTGTAATCTTGAGGGAACTGGTGCTCCCTGGCGGATTCGAAACCCGAGTCCAGGTTTCCTGTTGACTACTTCCAACCACCATCTAATCTCAATACATAGTGCCCGCAGTGTCGAGTCACCTAGACTGGTGGCCACATTGCAACATGATCGATAGCATTCGATCTGCACTAATAAGGACTAGACAAGCATGACATTGATCACCACCCAGTGATCAATCAATTGTGATTACATCTCAGTCCTACAGGAGGTTAGTCACGGCTCGGATAGCTCAGTGGTAACGTCTCTGACTGTGAAGCTGAGTGACACGAGATCGAATCCTCCAGGGAGCACCAGTTCCCTCAAGATTACAGGTACACCTTGCTGATGAGTGCCAAGTAGCACGAAACCCGGGTCCAGGGTTTCCTGTTCACTACCTCCAACCACCACCTAATAGAAAAACCATACTATAATACTGCTGAGTGGTGGCCTGCTTGCGCATCTAGGCTACCTGTTCCTGCCATCTAGATATTTCAACAAGTTATCTATTTTTGTTTGTTTTAATATATCATTATGTCTATTAATCGCATAAGCTATTCTGGTGCATTTCTGAAAAGTGTACAACCTTTCGTTGTCAAAGTTACAAAAAGCTCAATAAGAGACAATGCGGTTGCTGGCAATATACAACGAAAAAAATATGCACATCAATCAGATGCTCATTTACTGAACTGCTAACATCTAACTGGCGACCACTCAATATTTATCGCCAGGACCGACCAAGAAGAAAGAAACGGAAACTTGTTGAAATACTTTGAGCAGGGAATTCTATATTGTACCAAAAATATAATATTGAATAAAGCCGATAATAATAATAATAATAATAATAATAATAATTTGCAAAATGTTCAATTGTCCCGAACTTCATTGTTCTTGCATTTCCACACTAATTGCTTTCTACTCCCGCTCTTCCTTTCTTGATCTTCCCCAACTTCTGTTACCAGACATTACATTCCTGACTCGCGTCATATACTACTTATATCAACATAAGTAGAACGTAGCACAGTAGTAGTGATCAGAATAATAAAAAATGTCTAGTCAACAGTTCAATATAGGAAGTAGATCAATTAGGACTCAATAGACATAATAATGGTAATGATAAGTTTCATGGTTAAATTCATGAGTCGATGTAGGCTGAACATCCATTGAAGAACGCGACAGTCGTTTCGTCCTGTTGTGGGACTACTCAGTAGTGCACATCCACGATCCTCGCACGCGGGATTCGAACTCAGGGTCTTCAGTCTGGCTCGTGGACACTTGACATCTAGACCACTGATCTGGCATTCAACGATGGTAATGTTTAAATTCAATCGATTCATGATCTTGCGCAACAACTCATCCATTGCCCGAGGTAGATATATATCTCAACCCGACACCGATTGGTATCCATTGGTCCCGCGTGCGGAGTCGTAGACAAAACGGCTTTCGAATGCTTTCAGGTTTTTAGTGGTGGTCTAACTTATATTGAATCATGAATTCAACTATTTAAGTCGCCACAACCTCCACAAACCCTATTCTGATCATAATAACAATATTCACAAAACCTCATTAAATTACGTAATAAGGAGTGTGCAATTTTGTGAAGAATGTAAACGAAAAAAGGTGAAAGATGATAAATAAATACAGGATATCATATTCAGTCGAGGAATGTATAGGTATGTCACGAGTTCCTTCTAAACACATTAACTAGGGCTATAGATCCGGTTCCCTACGACTTATGCTATATGTAGGAGACAAAATCGATCACTCTATATGATTTAATTTTATTTATCATATGATCACTGCCAACTAGGTGTACCAAGATAAAGCTGTGTCTATCCATTTCCAAACCAAGCCGGGAAATGCTCGTTCATTCGTTGTTTAGGTTACCTGGTAGTATGCCTAATATATCTATGTCCAAAACAGCAACTGAATTTGTAGATGCACATCGGAGAGACAAACTCAGATAACTTTGAATAGATTTTACAGATCGACTAGAAAATGTCAATGCAATATCCTCGTTAATCTATCCTATAGAAGATTATTATCCATATGCGTGTTAGCTTGTAGTGTAGTGAATAAGAACACGGGTGCGGACAATCGATTGTATTTGAGCACAAAATTACAAAGCATCTCAATAAAATCTGAGAACCATATAGTAAATAGTTAATTTGCAAAATATCAATCCATCGTCTCAACTTTGACTGTTCCTTTGCAAATATTAGTTCATTGTCTCAGATTATATCGTTCATACCTTTTCATACTAATTGCGTTCCGTTCCCATTGTTTACTTATCAATCTTCAACTGAAATAAATTTTATGCCTGTTCACCGTTTTATACTACTTATGTGGATATAAGTAACCCACACCATAGTAGTTTTATGAATGAATTCGACCACTAAGAACTATTATAAAAATAGATATATTTTTTTGTGTTATATCTGAATGAGTAGAAAATTTGTATTTGTGACATTTTGTGACTTAATGTAAGCCTTCTCTTCAAAGTAAACAAATGGTCAGCTATTTATTTAGTCTAAAGAAGTGACTTACATGAAGTTATGAAACTTCAGAAATGCAATGTCCTACTCAGTAGAATATATAAAAATGTATTTATTACTAACTTTCTACCTAATGCTCAACTTATTTGGGACGATCAATTTCAACCTTGGTATGGATACTTATAAGTTGTATGTGTCGTCAGAATGAATGCATATGGAAAAAGTTATACAATAGGATAACTTGTAGTCTCTTTACCCTGTTGATGTATAGTGTAATGATACCGCCAATCGTAGAACAGTGAACTATCGATTGGACCGATGACGTATGAAACTCGTACGAGCAGTCTAGAGTCCTTATTGGTCCTGCTTCCCACCTAGCCCAGCCAGTTATGTCCAGAACACCAATATCAGCCTCTGTGATATAAATCATATATTTCAAGCATACAGGGTTCATATACCAACCAAACAGACTACACCGTACCATAAAACAGGGAACAACATTTGTACAAGAATTAGTTAAATCTGACTGTGAATATGGGAGGTAGTAATTAATAGACTGGGGCATAAGTCAAAAATGGTAAATCGTGTAATAATAGTTCATAGGTCAAAATAAAGCTTATGATAAGAGGAGCACGAGTATAAATAGTTTAGTTACTTAACAATCATACAATAGAAATATACTCATAGTATTGGTCCATCGATGGATCCCAAAAGTTACCATTCATTATACTTATCGAGATGTAAGATATAACTATCACAATAATATGTAGAGGTTATCCATGTCAGATATATATCTTAATACAATAGATGATGGTCTCGCCATTCCATGGATTGGTTGAATTTAGACATCAGCACCATTGGATATCAGTTCAATGTTATAGATGTTAAACGCTGTGCTTGAATCCCTTGAGCGGGATTGTGTGCATACACAATGTTGAGTAGTCTCATAATAGAATGAAACAGTCATTCAATCCTTTCATATTTTCAATAATGATCTAACAACATTCATAAACTCCATCATCTCATGCATGAATCATGTCCATAAACAGTTTTTTTTCATTATTTCTAATCATAATTATCATAATATAGTAACAATGTAAATTGTGTATTGCTTCTTTTTTCTATTCTACAGTACAACATATTTTCAATACTACTGATTTCCATTGAAGACAATAGTGAAATTTACACTTTATCAAAACAAAAAAGACAAAGAGAAGTACAAAAAAAGAAAAAAATAAGAAAAGAAAAAAGAAAGAAAGAAAAAAGTGGAAGAAGAAGAAGAAGGAAAGAAAACATGATAGAATACCATAAGATCATACAATTGTTTTATTATAATTATTTAATATCTAGATGAGATCATGTAAATGTATACAATTTATTATGTTATTGTTATATATAAGATTAGATATATTCAATTCAACAATTTATTCATCATTATCATTGAATTGTATTTCATCTACATTATTATTATTATGCTCATCAACATCATCATCTTCATTAAATGTATTCGATCCAACCAAGTATAAAGCATTACCATCTATATCGCCGAATACTTCCAAAGAGTTATCATATCAATCATCAATCAACAAAATCAATAATAATAATAATAATAATGATAACAAGATGAAGAAGAAGAAGAACAATGAAAAGAATCATCAAGATGGATCATTGAAACCATTCAATAAACAAATCACTTATAGACTTATTGAAGAATCTAATATACCACAATTTATTGGTAATTTAATTAATGATTTTCAATTAACCAATTATTTATTAAATTATATATTCAATCATTCATTATCATCGAATAATAATCATAATAATAATAATCTAAGAATGAATACAATCAATCAAAGTAAACCATTATTAAGTATTGATTTAATTGCTAATCAATATCAGATAATCAATAATAATAATAATAATAGTGATCATCCTCATCATCATCATCATCATAATGATTTACCACGTTTATATTTATTTCCATCTAATCAATGGAGTTCAAAATATTTTCATATAAATTATTATAATTTATTTAAACAAGAATTAATACAAATAAAAAAATTAGATCGTGATCAATTATGTCATTGGGATCATCATCATAATAATAATAATCAATTTTTTAAAGAAATCAATACATGTTTATGTTCGATCAATACATGTTCAATCATTAATAATCAATCAAATCTAATCAATGATCCATTTGATTTACCTTATTGTCAATTTACAATTACAATTGCTATGAATTTATTATCGATTGGTATAGAATTAATGACTATTCATATACAATTAATTGATTTAAATGATAATTATCCAATATTTCAATTATTTAATAAATATGAATTACATTTTATGGAAGATGCATTAATCGGTACAAAATATCAATTACCAATAGCTATTGATCATGATATGTGTTTATATTCAAATATCACTTATCAATTATTATCGATTGATCATCATGAAATCAATTCAATAATCAATAATAATAATAATAATCAATTGAATCAATCAATCAATTATTTTAGTTTAATATTCAATCAATTAGATGATCATAATAGATTAGAAATACAATTAGATCATAATTTAGATCGTGAACAAATAGATAAATATGAATTGAATTTATTAGCTATAGATAATCATTATAAATTGAATGAAATTAAACATACAACTACTCTACCATTGATTATCTATATACATGATGTGAATGATTGTAAACCTGAATTTACTATAATGAAATCAATAATCAATAATAATAATAATCATAGTAATAATAGTAATGAAGTATTATATCAATCAAATGAACCTTTATTGATAGAAGTATGTGAAGATGTACCAATTGGTTATATTGTAACAAAATTTCATGCAATTGATAAAGATATTGGAAAAAATGCTGAAATACAATATAGAATAAGTCAGTATACACATTCTTTAACAAAATCGGTAAGTCTCTTTTTTTTATTAGTATAGGGTTGTGGAGATTATTAAGTTTCTGGTTGAGATCATGAATCAATTGATGTTAGACCACCGTTGGAAACCGGGAAGCACTGGACGGCCATTTCGTCCTAGTATGGGACTCCTCAGCAGTGCGCATCCACGATCCCGCACCCCGCGGGATTCGAACACAGGACCTACTGGCTTCGCGCCTGAGCACTTTTTTTATCAGAATGGGTTTTGTGGTTAAGTGCTCACGCGCGAAACCAGTAGGTCCTGGGTTCGAATCCCGCGGGGTGCGGGATCGTGGATGCGCACTGCTGAGGGGTCCCATACTAGGACGAAATGGATGTTCAGTGCTTGCAGGTTTTCCATGATGGTCTAGCTTCAATTGACTCATGATTTCAACCTGTGAAAGTCCTTTTTTTGTTTAAATTTTCCCGAAATCCCTGTCGTCAATTGAATACTTGTTATATATATCTATATATCGTCATCGTTGATTGTTATGTCAGAAACACTTGTGGTGGACCAAATAATATATGAACTCAAAAATGATAACAGAGTTATTCAGTACAAATAGTAATGTTAATATATATGTCAGTTAAATGTTATAAACACAACAAAAATTACAGACGTTACTTAATTCAGCAAAGTTTGTGCGTGTTCCGATTGAGTCTGGTACAAGAATTCACAATTATAGATGATTAAAGATTCCAGTAAGATTGATGTCCTCCCAGTGGTATAACCAAATGTGGAATATGAAATATTTCGATTATAGTCTATGAGTGTTGACGGTTTTTGATTTAGACTTCAGTTAATAGAATCATGAGCGAATGGAGAACAAAAGGTATGTGTGTAACAGTGTATTTGTTAGTATGTGACAGCGTGTATCATGCTATGAATGTGACACGATGGAAGAAAGTGTGTTCAAGGTCATACACTTAAACAACACGTACAATCACTTAATGATAAATGTACATGCAGTGAAAAATTGACAGAATAAATACAGACTGAATGCTGCGCTAGCCAGAACTTATCCGGCGGTCAAACTTCTAATTCTGTATAAAACAACATGTTCAATAACTCAATCAAAGGTTAGTAAGCATCCTTTTCATGTTACCGCCGATTGTATTTATAAATTAACATATACCTGCCAAAGCACCTACATTGGTCGAACAGAAAGGAGGGCATATATCAGATTTTTTGAACATGTTCCAAAAAGCCTCAGATCAAGAGAAAGAAAGACTCTAAATAGTGCAATCACCAAACATCTTCTTGATACAGGACATTAGGTCGATACCCTGCAATCATTCAAGGTGATTAGTAAGCAGTCAAACTCCAGTCTTCTGAAGTTTAATGAAGCAGTTTCTATCAAACACCAAAAACCTGATTTATGTGTTCAAAAGGAGACGGTGGTTAATCTTTCCTTGCCCTGGTGACAAATATTCCTTCACTGTATCTTATTATATAATTTTTTTCTCTTTTATTTAAACTCTTTCTTGCATTTATTACATCATTGAGTTTTATTCCAACTATCTTCCAAATTAATAATCTGATTTTATCAACTGAACTCTACTCATTTTATTCCTATCAAGGTTAATTTGTTTCTAACTGTTTGAACTGTTGTCACAATGTTCTTTCATCACATAAGGTATATATTTACAATATTCAGTCTATTAAATTTATATAGATCCTTGCTATACTATACGAATATGTCTTCAATATAACTTCCAACCAAACCCTCTCATGTAAGTAATTTAAACCCATTATGTAATTATGATGTTTAAATATCACAGGTTGTAAGCAACTGACGAGAATCAACGAAATCAAAATGACTTCATGCTATTCTGTTAGAATCTTTGTTCTTGCTCTATTCAAAATGATAAAGGGAAATATGTGTATGAAAATACAAATAATATCAAAAACTATTTACAAAATAAGCTTGTCATGCATCTCTCCACACGCTTATCACTTATACTTGAAACAAAGGACCTCTGTAATTCTTACGATCGTGAAAGTAAGAACATAACATTTAGCATAAGTGAAGATTTATTGATCCCAAAATACGACGACGACGACGAAGACGATCCTAGTTGAAAGTACACTCATTTATATATTGATTCATACATCCATTTATGATTAATAATTAGGATGAGGTCACGTATATTGAGCATAGTTCATATCAATGGAATATAAGAATATTGTATATCACAAGAGGAAACAAATACTATATTGAATAATCATTATATTGAATTAGAACGAAAGTAATATTGAACAAAACTCATAATGGGTAAATCAATCGAAAGTGGTCTTTTCTTTCCATTATGTCATATAGTGAATAGAAGTTAGCTACCTAAGACAGGTAATAGAATTTGATTGTATTTTATTGTGAAAAGATTAAACTTTGGATACAATTAGAGGTTGACTCAATGGTCTAAAGGTTAAGGCTTAGTTCATTAAACCAATGATCTTGTTGTTTTACTTGTATCTTCTCATTGTTGTTTTTGAACTGCAGTTGATCAGATACTTGTTGGTATAAGTGCATCTTGTACGGATTGTCTCGATATAGCTTTAAATCATGAGATTTTTAAACAAAATGAATTTAAACTTCACTCCATTGCACAAGCTAATGGCTATCAGGACTGAGTAGCTAAGTGGATAATACGATGGCGTTTGAAGTGAACGATACTGGATTCGATTCACAGAGTGAATATCTACTCTGAGATGCAGGTACATCAGACTGACGACTTCTAAATAGGTCAAAACGCGCGTTCTGGATTCCACTGCTAGCCACTATCCATCTATGCTTAACAAAGATATTGTGTTTAGTTTTGTGTAGAGGAATGTTGGATGAGAATTTTTTGAGGAATCTTTCACTAAGATAAAACAATTATTCAATACTTCTTGTTTTTCAATAGTATTTTAATTATAATGAGTTCATCATTAAAACTATGAATGTCGGCACTGTAGTTTGTTAAATATTGTTTAATCTTGTTGTATACAATTGAAATTTGGATAGTACTCAATCTTAGCTGGAATATGTGCATCCTGTGTGTATTGCCTTGAAGTAACCATTATGAAATAAGTTAATATAGAAAACACGGTACTTGACTAATAATGGAATTTAGGATGCACAAAGTTTTGTTCTGTTTCGGACTCGTTAGCTAGATGTACGTGCATCTCAGAGTTGATGTTCATTGAACTGGTAACCTTAAAACGTTATTACTTTATTCACTTAGCTATCGATTTTACATACCCATTTACTTGTGCAATGGGTATAAATTTTGCTTTAAATCGTAATGGATTAAGTTATCCTGTTATTGATATTTCTACTGAAATTCAATCGGCTTTAGTTGGTAAATATGCGTCTTGTTCGGACTGTTTTGACTGACCTTCCAGACTCAGTAGCTAAATGGGAAACGAGTTGATGTTGTGGGTTTAAATTACTGGATTTGAATCTTAGCATCAACATCAACTCCGGGATACAAGTGTTTCCAGATGACAAGTCTCTAATAGGACGAAATGTTACATGTCCTGCATTCCATTGTTATCCACATTACATCTATTCTACGTAAATATGTCATTCATATTTTCCCTAATATTACCGATCGAAATGTAGTAAAATGATTGAAAAATATAGTTTCGAAACAGACTACTTTTGAATAGATTAATATTCAGACTCCACAGTTGTGCGCATCTATGATCCCGAAACAAACGAAATTCAACAACGAATCTCCAGTCTCATGAGTGGGCGCTTAATTTCTACACCACTGAGCCGTTATTCAACAGTGTTAATGTTTAACTTTAATCGATTCATGATCTTACGCAATCATACAACCATTGTTGAGTTGCTTGACTGTCTCACACTCAACACGATTTCTCGCTAGAACTTGATGAAATCCATCTTGAATCTAGTCATTATTGAGATGATAATTATTATTAGAATGGGGACTTATTATTCATTTTCATTATTTCATACAAGTACTGGTACAACCGAGTACCATAATAAATATGCGCCACATGATTAAGAAAGTGAAATTGTGAAGAGATATGCCAAATAGAAAAGACATATTTAACAGATAATTTAACAAGTAAAAATAAGTGACTTAATTACTTACGCTTGTTACTCCTCGTGGAGGAAAATAGGCCGCCGACAAGCACTTTCAATTCAATCCTGTCCTTTCCAGTTCTTTCTAGTTGCGACTCATCCTTTTCATATCTCCTTCCAATTCCCGACTTAGTGTGTTCTTGTTATATTTGGTCGTCGCTGATTGCTGTGCCGGGAAAACGCTGATCACTTATACTCGGAACGAGGGACCTCGGCAATTCCCACGATGTGAAAGTAAGAACACAAGACTGGTATAAGTGAAGATTTATTAGCCCAAAAACACTCTGACGACGACGAATCGAATATCGTTCAAAATACACTGGTTTATATATTGATTGTACACCCATTTTGATTAATAATTAGGATGAAATCACATATTCAGTTATAACAACTTACTAACTGAGCATAGTTCAAGTGAATGCAAGAATATTAAACAGAATAAAATATCATACGACAAAAGAATGATCATCACATTGAATTAGAATGGACGTAATATTGAATAAAACTCATAGTGAGTAAATCAATCGAAAATTGACATTTCTTTCCAACATATCACAATTATACAAAAAATATACGTTTAGTATTGTTCATAAAAGAATCCCAAAGTTACCATTCATTATGTTATCGGGTTCTAACACCTCTATCCGTTTTTGAAGATCCGGATCCCGAATTTTCCGGGTTCATCCTCCCTCCCCTCTTCTCACAACAGACCCGGTTGAACTCCACTGGTCACGGCTTCTCACTAGAACTTCAGGATATACCCTTGAAGCCAGTCACTAGTGAGGATATGTTGATTAATATCATAAGAGGTTTTTTGTGGATATTATAGTAATTTCATTAGTTGAGATCAGGAATGTGTCGCTTAATTTAGTGGATTAGTTGAAGTTAGACATTAACACTA